CAAACAGCATAAAGAGAGATACACAACACAAACAGCACAGAGAGAGATAAACAACACAAACAGTGCAGAGAGAGAGATAAACAACACAAACTGCACAGAGAGAAAGATAAACAACACAAACTGCACAGAGAGAGATAAACAACACAAACAGCACAGAGAGAGAGATAAACAACACAAACAGCACAGAGAGAGAGATAAACAACACAAACAGCACAGAGAGAGATAAACAACACAAACAACACAGAGAGAGAGATAAACAACACAAACAGCACAGAGAGAGATAAACAACACAAACAGCACAGAGAGAAAGATAAACAACAAAAACAGCACAAAGAGAGATAAACAATACAAACAGCACAGAGAGAGAAACAATACAAAGAGCGAAGAGAAAGATGAACACAAACAGCACAGAGAGAGATAAACAACACAAAAGTAAAGAGGGAGATAAACAACACAAACAGGAAAGAGAGAGAGATAAACAACAAACAGTGCAGAGAGAGATAAACAACACAAACAATGGAGAGAGAGCGAGAGAGATAAACAACACAAACTGCACTGAGAAATGTAAACAATACAAACAGCACAGAGAGAGAGATAAACAACACAAACAGCACAGAGAGATAAACAACACAAACAGTAAAAGAGAGAGTTAAACAACAAAAACAACACAGACAGGTAAACAAGACAAACAGTACAGACAGAGAGAGATAAACAAGAAAAACAGCACAGACAGAGATAAACAACACAAACGGCATAGAGAGAGAGATATAAACAACACAATCAGCGCAGAGAGAGAGATAAACAAGACAAATAGTGCAGAGAGAGAGAGACGAACAAGAAAAACAGCCCAGAGACATAACAACACAAACAGTACAGAGAGAGATAAACAACACAAACAGCGAAGAGAAAGATGAACACAAACAGCAAAGAGAGAGATAAACAACACAAAAGTAAAGAGGGAGATAAACAACACAAACAGGAAAGAGAGAGAGAAAGAAACAACACAACCAGCAGATAGAGAGAGATAAACAACACAAACAGCACAGAGAGAGATAAACAAAAGAAACAACACAGAGAGATGAACAAGACCAATGGCACAGAGAGAGGGATAAACACAAACAGCACAGAGAAAGATAAACAACAAAACAGACAGAGAGAGATAAACAATACAAACAGCACAGAAAAAGATAAACAACAAAAACAGCAGAGAGAGAGATAAACAACACAAACAGCACAAAGAGAGAGAGAGATAAACAACACAAACAGGACAGACAGACATGAACATCACAAACAGCACAGAGAGGGATAAACAACACTGATGAACAGAGTGAGATAAACACACAAATGGCAAAGAGAGAGAGATAAACAAGACGCACAGACAGAGAGATGAACAACACAAAATGGCACAGAGAGACATAAACAAGACAAACGGCATTGAGAAATGTAAACAGTACAAACACAGAGAGATAAACACACAGCACAGAGAGAGATAAAACAGACAAACAGCCAGAGAGAGAGATAAACAAACAAACAGCACAGAGAGAGAGATAACAAGACAAACAGCCATGAGAGAGAGATAAACAGACAAACAGCCAGAAAAGATAAACAACCAAACAGCAGTGCACAGCAGAGAGATACAAACAAACACGAGAAAACAACACAAACAGTGCAGAGAGAGATAAACAACAAACGCACTGAGAAATGTAAACAATACAAACAGCACAGACAGAGATAAACACACAACAGCACAGAACGAGAAATAAAGAACACAAACAACACAGAGAGAGATGAACAACACAAACAGCACTGAGAAATTTAAACAAAAACAACACAGAGACAGGTAAACAACACAAACAGCACAGAGAGAGAGATAAACAACACAAACTGCACAGAAAGAGATATACAATACAAACTCTCTCTGTGCAGTTTGTATTGTACATCTCTTTCTGTGCAGATATACAATACAACAGCACAGAGAGAGATACACATACAACAGCACAGAGAGAGATAAACAACACAAACTGCACAGAGAGAGATATACAATACAAACAGTACAGAGAGAGATAAACAACACAAATAGCACTGAGAAATGTAAACAATACAAACAGCACAGAGAGAGATAAACAACACAAAGGCACAGAGAGAGATAAACAACACAAACAACACAGATAGAGAGATAAACAACACAAATAGAATATAGAGAGAGATAAACAACACAAACAGCACACAGAGATAAATAACACAACCAGCACAGAGAGAGATAAACAACACAAACAGCACAGAGAGAGATAAACAACACAAACAGCACAGAGAGAGATAAACAAGACAAACAGCCCAGAGAGAGAGAGATAAACAACACAAACAGCACAGAGATAAACAACACAAACAGCACAGAGAGAGATAAACAACACAAACAGCACAGAGAGAGATAAACAACACAAACAGCACAGAGAGAGATAAACAACACAAACAGCCCAGAGAGAGAGATAAACAAAACAAACAGCACAGAGAGAGATAAACAACACAAACAGCCCAGAGAGAGAGAGATAAACAACACAAACTGCACAGAGAGAGATAAACAACACAAACAGCACAGAGAGAGAGATAAACAACACAAACAGCACAGAGAGAGATAAACAACACAAACAGCACAGAGAGAGATAAACAACACAAACAGCACAGAGAGAAAGATAAACAACAAAAACAGCACAAAGAGAGATAAACAAAACAAACAGCACAGAGAGAGATAAACAACACAAACAGCCCAGAGAGAGAGAGATAAACAACACAAACTGCACAGAGAGAAAGATAAACAACACAAACTGCACAGAGAGAGATAAACAACACAAACAGCACAGAGAGAGAGATAAACAACACAAACAGCACAGAGAGAGATAAACAACACAAACAGCACAGAGAGAGATAAACAACACAAACAGCACAGAGAGAAAGATAAACAACACAAACAGCACAGAGAGAAAGATAAACAACAAAAACAGCACAAAGAGAGATAAACAATACAAACAGCACAGAGAGAGAAACAATACAAAGAGCGAAGAGAAAGATGAACACAAACAGCACAGAGAGAGATAAACAACACAAAAACTAAAGAGGGAGATAAACAACACAAACAGGAAAGAGAGAGAGATAAACAACAAACAGTGCAGAGAGAGATAAACAACACAAACAATGGAGAGAGAGAGAGAGAGATAAACAACACAAACTGCACTGAGAAATGTAAACAATACAAACAGCACAGAGAGAGAGATTAACAACACAAACAGCACAGAGAGATGAACAACACAAACAGTAAAAAGAGAGAGTTAAACAACAAAAACAGCACAGAGACAGGTAAACAAGACAAACAGTACAGACAGAGAGAGATAAACAAGAAAAACAGCACCCAAAGAGATAAATAACACAAACAGCACAGAGAGAGAGATAAACAACACAAACAGCACAGAGAGATGAACAACACAAACAGTAAAAAGAGAGAGTTAAACAACAAAAACAGCACAGAGACAGGTAAACAAGACAAACAGTACAGACAGTGAGAGATAAACAACACAAACAGCACCCAAAGAGATAAATAACACAAACAGCACAGAGAGAGAGATAAACAACACAAACAGCACACAGAGATAAATAACACAACCAGCACAGAGAGAGAGAGATAAACAAGACAAACAGCCCAGAGAGAGAGAGATAAACAATACAAACAGCACAGAGAGAGAGATAAACAAGACAAACAGCCCAGAGAGAGAGAGATAAACAAGACAAACAGCCCAGACAAAGATAAACAACACAAACAGCACTGAGAAATGTAAACAATACAAACAGCATAAAGAGAGATACACAACACAAACAGCACAGAGAGAGATAAACAACACAAACAGTGCAGAGAGAGATAAACAACACAAACTGCACTGAGAAATGTAAACAATACAAACAGCACAGACAGAGATAAACAACACAAACAGCACAGAACGAGAAATAAAGAACACAAACAACACAGAGAGAGATGAACAACACAAACAGCACTGAGAAATTTAAACAAAAACAACACAGAGACAGGTAAACAACACAAACAGCACAGAGAGAGAGATAAACAACACAAACTGCACAGAAAGAGATATACAATACAAACTCTCTCTGTGCAGTTTGTATTGTACATCTCTTTCTGTGCAGATATACAATACAAACAGCACAGAGAGAGATATACAATACAAACAGCACAGAGAGAGAGATAAACAACACAAACTGCACAGAGAGAGATATACAATACAAACAGTACAGAGAGAGATAAACAACACAAACAGCACTGAGATATGTAAACAATACAAACAGCACAGAGAGATAAACAACACAAACAGTACAGAGAGAGATAAACAACATAAATAGCACAGAGATAAACAACACAAACAGCAGAGAGAGAGAGAGAGATAAAAAACAAAAACAGTGCAGTGAGATAAACAACACAAACAGCACAGACAGAGATAAATGACACAAACAGCACAGAGAGAGAGATACAACAAAAACAGCACAGAGAGAGATAAACAACACAAGCAGCACTGAGTTTGAGATAAACAATACGAACAGCACTGAGATAAATAGCAGAAACAGTAAAAAAAAAGGTAAACAACAAAAACAGCAGAGAGACAGGTAAACAAGACAAACAGCACAGAGAGAGCGATAAACAACACAAACAGCACAGAGTGAGATAAACAACACAAACAGCACAGAGTGAGATAAACAACACAAACTGCACAGAGAGAGATAAACAACACAAACATCACAGATCATCGTACTATTTTTCTCATATACATATGGTGTACATAAGGCAATTCATTTCCTTAGTGTCAAATCCTCATACTGATGTATTGCACTGACCAAAGACAGAACGCTGTTGCATCTTTTGCAACAGATAAACATGCAAATACATAAATAATGATAAACACTATTATAATAAGTAATATTTTATTCTAACTGTTCACTTACAGATTGGATGATCTGAAGGGTTGGTTCTCTTGGGTCTCTTCATTGTGGAAAGAAGCGGAAACAGAAGAATCATCAGAAGATGAGGAAGCACATCTCATGACTGCAGAGGTTCACACTGAAGTGGATCAGGATGAACAAATAACAGAGTAGCGTTCAGAAGATCAGAGTAAAATTGATCATGATGACCAGAAAACGGAGCAGAGCTCAGACGGTCCAAGTAAAACGGATCAGAACGATCAGAAACCGGAGCAGAGCTCAGACGGTCCGAGTAAAACGGATCGGAACGACCAAAAAACGGGGCAGAGCTCAGACGGTCCGAGTAAAAGGGATCGGAACGACCAAAAAACGGGGCAGAGCTCAGACGGTCCGAGTAAAACGGATCGGAACGACCAAAAAACGGGGAAGAGCTCAGGCGGTCCGAGTAAAACGGATCGGAACGACCAAAAAACGGAGCAGAGCTCAGACGGTCCAAGTAAAACGGATCGGAACGACCAAAAAAAGGAGCAGAGCTCAGACGGTCCGAGTAAAACGGATCGGAACGACCAAAAAAAGGAGCAGAGCTCAGACGGTCCGAGTAAAACGGATCGGAACGACCAAGAAACGGGGCAGAGCTCAGACGGTCCGAGTAAAAGGGATCGGAACGACCAAAAAAAGGAGCAGAGCTCAGATGGTCCGAGTAAAAGGGATCGGAACGACCAAAAAACGGGGCAGATCTCAGACGGTCCGAGTAAAAGGGATCGGAACGGCCAGAAACCGGAGCAGAGCTCTGACGGTCCAATTAAAACGGATCGGAACGACCAAAAAACGGAGCAGAGCTCAGACGGTCCGATTAAAACGGATCGGAATGACCAAAAAACGGAGCAGAGCTCAGATGATCCGAGTAAAAGGGATCAGGATGACCAGAAAACGGAGCAGAGCTCAGACGGTCTGAGTAACACAGATTGAGTTCAGACAGTCAGGATAAAGAGGATCCCTTTTTTTCAGACTGTATTTTAACTCTGAAATCAGATGACCATCACTGTGACCATGATACCCGACATATGGGCATTAAAAGGTCTATCCCAAAGAAAGGAAACTGTTCTATCAGCCCTTTAGTGCAGTGGTGAATAGTTAAGAAGGATAAGATTTTGAGTTCATTCAAATTCAGAGTTTTAATTATATAGAGCAACCACAATTGTTTCAGAACAACTTCACAGTTAGGATAAAATAAATAAGATTAAACAGAGGCACCCTGATCAGGCAGAGCAGAGACCTGTAAGATACACTAAAGACAATCATTAAAGTGTATCAAGCATTATCAGAAAATACTCAGAAATGGATGTGATGGACTAGCAAATACATCAAATGCATTCACTGACCATGTGAGAACAAATTAGACCAATATCTCTCTCACTGATACATGTATAATCACCTATGCAATGTCAGAGAGATTACGCAAAGCTTGTCTAATCACTCACTGAGCAAAAGTTAGAGATGATTTACAGAGAGATGATTTTTGAAACTCCTGTGCTGTTGGAGATATAGAGTGAATTCAGCCAAAGCTATTGCTCTTTTAGTGACTGGAGCCAATGAAATAACTATTATGAATACTTAGCACAGTGTTACTCATTCATTCATGGCTGAAGCCACGTCAAACTTACCATTTTCCAATTGGATTGAAGCCAAATTTGTAAATCTTGGATTCTGGACATGTGACTCAGATTGACCAGTCAGATCAGATTTAATGTGTTTTCTCATCATTAGGGCTGAAATCTGATCACTCAGTCCAAAAATCTGACTCCCTAAAATGCTCCACACCGGACTGGCACTGCTTACTAATTACCCAAACCTGATCCTTATTCATCTGTTGTTCATTATTTAGTAAGTCTTGTATATAGTTTATTCTCTCTGCTTTTTCAAGGTGTTTGTGAAAACTTCCTAGTGCATCTCAGGAATTCTAAAACAAGTGTTTTGTTTCTGTGATAACTTTTGTACATAATTCTTTGTTACTTTTGTGTTTGTTGTCTGCATTTTAATGTGTGAATTTGCCTCTGATTACCTCTGACTAGCAGAGCTTTTCTGCTTGTGTTGACTGTGTTTAATGGAAAACCCAAGGTAAAGCTGCTGCCTCTTACTCCCCTAAGTTACACATTCTCATTGTGTATTTAAATAAAACTGTTGTTTTTGCAATATTACTGCTGTTCTGTACTAATTAATACAAACCACAAATAACATAGAAGGTTGAAGTTATTCATAAATCTATGTATTTCTTATCATGTCTCCTGAGCAACCTCACAAGACATTAATAAGATGCACATTCCTGAACGCTTACATAGAAAACTACAGACAGTATTACAGTATGTATGTGTACACGTTATGTTAGCAACTAATTCAATAATTAAACAATTAAAAAAATATTAAGAAAAAAAAACAATTTAAAAAAGGAAATACTTCTAACAAAGAGGAGAAGTGTTCAATCAATATCCAGTCAATATTCCCATTAACTATTCATATACAGATGGCTTTTAAAATACAGAGAAAAACGGGCTGTATTGAGGCCCCATTGTGCCAACTTCTGACTGGGGCATTCACTTTAAATACAGAGCTACACTTGTTCCCTTACAGCACAAGCAGTGTACAACAGAATGTGGTACTGTAGTCCTGTTAAACAATTAGGTTCACTTATAAGCAAAACAATAAAGTTTGGCTGTGTAATTGTTACTGCTAAACCAAAGCCAAACACAAAGAAATTTGTCCCAGCGCTGTTGGTTGCTGGTAACAATCTCTCTGCAAACACACTACAGCAGCATGTTTCTGCCTGTTTGGAGCTTCCTCAGTTCAACTATGTTCAGCAGTGTTTTCTTCAGTAATAAAGTCTGGTGTTGTATAAGCACATTGCCAGCTCTGAAAAACACACCAATGTTCATTTTTCTCTCCTCCCCTGTCAGTCCCATCCCTTTTTTTTTCTGGGTTTTTCTTTTATACTGCACTGAGCTGGAATTTTTGGTCAAATATTGCTTTTAAGATATAGCACTAACAGTTTAATCCAAACCGTGTCCCTGAAATTGGTGAATTAATCTAGCGTTTCGATCCCTCTTCACTTCTTCTGTGGGCTGCTCCTGCAATCGGAAAGTGATTGACAGGCAGGGAGGACCACCTTCTTATAGAGCCGCCTCCTGGTTGGTTGGTAAAACCAGTTGAATTTTTAGTTTCTGAGACCAGGACAGTCACAGAGATATTTTTTCACAGAGCATGCATTTTAATGATCACTATGAGAATTTTGCTAAAATGATCTAAATAAAGAAGACATCAGGTTTGATTAATGAAAGAACTGATTGTAATTGTAATTAATCATAAAATACTATATGAAACTGTTCTTACTGGCAAAACCTCTCGTGTACAGAAAGTGGCAGTCATGTCAATTTTGTCATCTTCATTCAGACACTGAAATGAAGGTGCACTTTATCATTCCATACTTACATACAGTATTTCTGTATTATGTAAAATGAACACATGCTCTTCTTCCTAAACTGTGAATATCAATAATGGAAGGTTAATCTTATGAGTATTTGACTGATTGATTGATTGATATTTATTGCCACACAACATGTTGGTTATAATTGTATCTGGTGCAACAAGATATAATTCAACTCTGTTGTATATGTATGCTGTGGTATAGGAAAATCTGTAATGACTGTAAAGATGTAACTACTCAAACGAGCTTAGTAACCTTGTCACAGTAGGAAATAACTATGAAGTGGGCTGTCTTCATTTTATGGATCTATAGCTCCTCCCAGAAGGGAATAGCTGGATGAGAAGAATCTGTGATTGTTCTCTTTGCTCGGTTAAGTGTGCACTGAAAGTAAACAGAATCAGCTGAAGGAAGAAATGATCTTTGCAGCTTTATTGACAATGCCTTGCAATTTATTTGTGTCTGGATGTCTGTATTTCTATACCAAACTGTAAGAGAAGATGTGAGAACACTATCGAAAGTGGACGAATAAAATTAACCAGAAGATCTCTTCTTACTTAGTTTTTTTTTAATTGTCTCAGAAAGAACAAACTTGAGAGTTTTTGATAATACGATCAGAATTAAGGCTCCACTTCAAAGAATCGCTAATATAAGTTCACAAAACATTGAAAGATTGTACAACAGAATGACTGTCCCAAAACCTGCACTGGAGTTTAACATCCTTTTCTTCCTCTAATCTACAATCATCTCCACTGTTGTTGATATTTGGCTTTGTCTGTTGTTTGTGTTTTGACCACTGGAGGGGTCAGATGGGGAGCTGCACCTGTTTTCAGTTTGTGAGAGATTTTAAACTGAGTGTTGTTTAGAGTCTGCTAAATCTAATGAAGACCTTGGATCATGTTTCCTTAGACACATATAGCAGGGAGGTAGCATATGAAAACTCCAACTCTCTTCTGTCTAATTAACTAGATTCATGCAAAATCGGAGCTAATAAATATTTTGCTATAAATAGGCCATGAGTTCATATCTACAGCTCAAATATATGGAATATATTATGGACTTAATTTCATGTGTACAAATCATGCATCAAATAAAAAGGCTGATTATTAGGATTATGAAAGTATACATTCATCTGTAGAATGAGGTTTTGGCATTGAGCAGTAAAACTACACGGACTTCTTCTTACATTGTATCCTAATTTGCAGGTGCTTTTACAAAAAAAATACTAAGATTTTATATTTCTTTCTAGCACTACTGAATAATAAGCCTTAAGATTTGGGAACGTAAACTGGGGTGGAAAATCAGAAAAATACCTTTGGCGGAATAATATCTTTGGCGGTGTGGCTGCAGGATTTCAATCTAACCAAGCAGGAGCACCTCCAACAGTTTAATCCCTGAAATGGATTAAATAAGTAGAATCATGTGTTCTTCTACTTAATTGGAATGAAAACGTGACTTTTTGTGAATAAGACTGGCGATTACTGATATAGACAGAGTGTTTTATCTTTTTCCCAACAAGTTTTAGTGTGTAGCCACTCTGATAAACAGAAGCTCCTTTAATCCTCTCAGAAGAGAACAAATGAGGGAAATAACAATGATTTTGAACTTATTAAATGTCTTTTCATTGTACTTATAAAATACTTAATGTCCGTATTGTGTATCTTTGTATTAAGGTATCAGAGCTCACTCTTAGACAACAAAGCGCTTGAGAGAGTGTAAGTCTCTCTGGATTAGAGTGTAAATGTAAATCTGAATTAGAACAGAATTATTTTACTCATCATACTTTTCACCTTAAAGTCTGTGAAAATGATACATTCCATGTTACTGAGGGGAAAGGGGTGATTTAGAAAGTGCAGCAGTTATTCATTAATGTTTCAGCTGGACAGGCAGGTTCATTCATTTTCCCATAAACTCTCAGCTCAGGAGAGTTGGACTTTGGTCAGTTTGTTTAGCTGAGGTGATAAAGTGACACCTCAGATGGAAGTTTTGGTAAAGATTTAAAGTGCTGTTGTATTTCATGATATTTGTAATGAGGATTTGGTCAGATATAACACAGACCTGATGCATAAATCCTGCTGCTGCTCCAAGCAAAAATGCTAAAAATTAAAATAAACATTATATTAAAATACATCATATTAAGATTATG